GTGTGACACCACTGTATCCACGTCACTGTGTCACGACAATCATCTGAAACATAAGAGCAGCTGCTTCTTTACACTGACACTCCCTCCTCTGTCCAGATAGCATGTGGTAGAGCCACATGCTATATAGCCACATGCTATACACTGTCAATACAAACCTAATATTTATGTGATCTGCTCAGCTCTTCTAAGTATTAAAGATTTATACTATAATATTTAGCAAGACATATATCAAACACCAAATAATGGGTAAGGAAAATTATATTCCATCTTTTTAAGTTTTAAGATTTTAATTCAAAATCAAATTTAATTAAATTACTTTTTAGAAAAAAAATCATGAAAATATGATAAGAAACACTATTCTTGAATTAAATAGTTCTGAATGCCTTTATATGCTTGAGGGAAACCTAAACTCAGCAGCAAGTTTCTGAAACATGCAATATATTAATTATTCTGAGTCCAAAAGTTTGAAAACCAAATTACTCTAACATACAGATGAAGAAATGGTCTTAAATTCCAATGAGAAAAATGCAAGGTTGACCAGAAGTTTAAAATACTTCAATACACTAATGTACTATTAATCAAATTTATCTTTAAAACAGATATATAAAAGGAATTATAGGGGCTGGGGATGTGGCTCGAGTGGTAGCGCGCTCCCCTGGCATGCATGTGGCCCGGGTTCCATCCTCAACACCACATACAAACAAAGATGTTGTGTCTGCCGAGAACCAAAAACTAAATATTTTTAAAAATAAATAAATAAATTCTCTCTCTCTCTCTCTCTCTCTCTCTCTCTCTCTCTCTCTCTTTCTCACTCTCTCTCTAAAAAAAAAAGGATAGTAAAAATCCATCTGTATGTGTTGCATTGGTATATATAGGTTATATGGTTTTACACACACACACACATATGGTGTGTGGGTTTATAGGTAATGCAGTTTTTATTAGTGCATTATAATTATATGTAAAAGTGGGATTCGTGATATATTCATACATGCACATAGCGTAGTTTGGTCAGTTTCATTTCCAAATATCTCCTCTCCACTCCTCCCCTCCCCATCAATTATTTACCTCCTTCAGTGTCGGGGGTGGGGGGCGGGGGGTTTGTTTCAGCATTCCCACAGATGCCAGAATTCGAAAATGCTCAAAGCCCTTACATAAAAAGGTGTGGTATTTACATATAACCATAAAGCCTTTGCAATCTTCCCATATGAGTTAAATCATCTCCAGAATATTTAAAATACCAAATGCCATGTTATATCGTTGTTACACTCTGTTTTTAAGGAATAATGATAAGGAAAGTCTGTGCATGTGCAGTGTAGACACAATTTTTGTTTTCCTGAAAATATTGGACCTGGGCCTGGTTTAATCCACATGTGTGGATCCCAGGGATGTGGCAGGGAAGGAACAGAAGAAGTTGAAGAAAAAAGATACCTGGTGTGTGGAGACCTGCTTGGTAGGTAAATGCTTGCATTTATGTTTCTAGCTTAGGGCAGGCTTCGGGGTCTAGAGCCAATGCTAAGTAAGACTGAGTTTACAGCCAGGTGCCCTGGGCATGCGTGTAATCCCAGTGACCCGGGAGGCTGAGGCAGGAGGCTGAGGCAAGAGATGCAAGTTCAAATGTAGCCTCAGCAATTTATCAAGGCTGTAAGCAACTCAGTGAGACCCTGTCTCTAAATTAAAAATATAAAAAGAGTTGGGGATGTGGCTTAGTGGTTAAGTGCTCCTGGGTTCAATCCCTGGTACCAAAAAAAAAAAAAAAAAAAAAAAAGACTGTGTTTACAGACTGTGCATCCTCTGGGGAATAATTAAGTTATTCTATGAGTCTCATTATTGCATGGCCCAACCACCTTCCACAGAGCTGCGGCCATGGCCCTGACCCCAGGAGGATGTCTCTTCACTTCCTAACCCCCATTAACGCTCCCAGAGAGATGAGGCACTTTGTTTTCTCTAGATGGTGAATGTGTCTTTCCATTTTGGTATAAAAATCAACTATTCTACGACTGCATCAAGTACGGTATGAGGCACAAGTGGTGCTCCCTGAATAAGACCTTCGAGGGCCACTGGAAGTACTGCTCCGAGACAGGTGAGCGGGTGCCTCCACCCATGTCAGGGCTTTAGGGAGGGCCCGGGAATGTTCTGGAACAGAGCCCAGACCCCATTCAGCTGTGAAAATAAAGGGAGAGCAGTTCCTGACAGTGTGAAAATCTCGTGGCACTAGAGACGTGTCAGGAGTCCTCCAACCGTGCGCTCGCGGAAAGAAGCTGGAACCTCAAAGCAGTGTGAGGTGCAACCCCCAGTTCTTTCCTCCTATGCAGTTGGTGCAACAGGGCAGAGTGGAAGTGAGTGTGTGTGTGTGAGTGTATGATGGTGTGTGTGTGTGTGTGTGTGTGTGTGTGAGTGTGTCAGAGTCTGAAAGTGTGTGTGCGTGTGTTTCCTCCTCCGACACCTCTCTCTCCGCAGACTTCGCGCCCTGCGTGTTTCCCTTCTGGTACGAGCGTTTGATCTACTGGGAGTGCACGGGTGATGGCGATGACTTTGGGAGAAAATGGTGTTCGCTGACCAAGAATTACAACAAGGACCGGGCCTGGAAATACTGCTGACCCTGGTGAGATTCACCGGAAGAGGAGGCGGGAGCTCAATCTTTCTCATTGGAAATAACTTACAGATTGACTGGGAGAGGGAGAATGTGGGATCCTCTTTAAAAGATTCTTTTTTTCCTGGGATGTGAATTGTAGGTGATCTGATTATAAATTACTCGGTGTTTTAATTATGAATTATGGGGTTTTCATAGGGAGATCTGTGTTCTATCTTCAGCACTTTGACTTTCTAAGTAAAATTAGGCCCTTAAAAAAATAATAAGTGCCTGGACTCCATGATGATGGGTCCTGTGGGTTCCCCCATTGCCCTACTGGGCCCCTCCAGAGGCCGATGATCATGGGAGGTAATGCTTGTGCAGGGGCCTGGACAGGGAAGCTGTTCCTGGAGGCCTGTGGGTGGCGGCACTCTACCTGTCTCCTGCTTCACTCAGAGCCCAGGGTGAACCTGGACCACCATGGGCCGGGTCCCCAGGGTAACAGGGGAGCTGCCAGAGAGCCTCGCTGGGAGTGGCATCAAGGAGACAGGCCGGGCTGGAGGGTTGACAGGTGGCAAGCCCCAGATTCCAGACACCTCCTTTGGAAGCCAAATGGCAATCTTCATGTCCAGCCAGACAAGCCAGTTGGCTGCTCTCCCCAGCAGGCAGAGACTCCCGTTCAGCTCCTAAAAGGAAAGTCGAGGAGAAAGCAGAGCCGTGGCTCATCCTGCTGCAGGTGGACAGTCACGCACGGTGCCTGGGCACTCAGGTTTCTGTTGCTATGACAAAATACCTGAGGGAAGTCACGCTGAAGGAGGAAAACTTTACTATGGCCCCTGGCTTGGCCCATGGTCCATGGGCTCCTTTGCTTAAGGGCCTGTGGCAGGGAGCCCGGGTGGGGCAAAGCTGGCACCTCAGGCAACCCGGAAGCAGAGTGACACCAGGCCAGGCCCTAAACCAGCCTGCCAAGGGCATGTCCCCAGCTGACCCTCCACCCTCCACCAGGCCCTCCCCTAAGGTCCCACCAGCTCCCACAGCACCCGCCCAGGCTGGAGAACACGGCCTGAGTGAGCCCCTGGGGGACATGACTGTCGTCGGTGACTGCGGCGGCCCCACTCAGGGGCTTCCACTCGTCGTTTCCACTCTGCAGAGGGAGAAGCTCGGGCCTCGGCACAGAAGGTGCGTGAGCAGGGCGCGTTGGGTGAGGAGAACCCGCCCAGCGACCCTCAGCTGCGCCTGAAGGGTGAAAGGTAAATGAAAGGAGTCCTAGAAAGGGGCCCAGGGGCTGCTGAGTGACATGAGCAGTGTCCTTGTCACACGTCATGTAGGACAGACGACTTCGAGGACACCAGAACCTCGGAGCACCAGCGCACCCCGGATCTGGGGAAAGCTGTGAGCAGACTTTGGTGAGGGGCTGTCCATCACGGCCGCGCATGCGCTGAGTCGTTGCCAAGTTTCTCCTTCCTAGAGACCTCAGGGCCCTAGAATGGGGGACCGCGAGCAGCCTGGCCTTGATTTTCAGTGTCTTGTCCGGTCTGCACAGTGAGCCCAGGAGCATGTGCTCGTTTAGACCTGATCCACAGGGACCAGAGGGAGTGAGGGGGTCTTCCTTCTCCTGCTCCTCTTCCTTCCACTGTCCCCACAGAGGGACACGCAGCCCACATTTCAGGGTGTGTGCTTGCAGGGCTGGTCCACGCCTTGACCCAGACGCCAGCGTTTTGAAGGTCTTTTTAAACATGACCTGATCCCTTGTCCTGTGACCTGATCTTCATTTAGATAGATGTTATGGGGATTTTCTTTGTAAATGCAAAAATCCACCTCACCTCTCACCCTGCTTCCACCAAATGTCACAATTTAGAGAAGGCATTCCCCCTCGAAGTACCACAAAAGTACTAAATGTTTTGCTGTTACCATGGAAAAGTGCGCGCCACCCTATGCTGATCTTTGAGGGAGGGTGTGAGCTGTGTGGTTTTCACAGGAATAGCTGAGTACCGTCTCTAGGACACCTGGTCTATGCTGGGTATGTGTGTGAAGTTTTAAATTATTGCAAATTATCCTCCATCAGTGTTAGGAACCTGTTGTGGTGGTGCACGCCTGTGATCCCAGCGGCTGGGAAGGCAGAGTCAGGAGGATCGCGAGTTCAAAGTCAGCCTCAGCAATTTATCGAGGCACTGACAATGCAGTGAGATTCTGTCTCTAAATAAAAATACAAAATGGGGCTGGGATGTGGCTCAGTGCTTGAGTGCCCCTGAGTTCAATCCCCAATACTAAAAAACAAACAAACAAACAAACAAAAAAACCTGAAAATGATCAATGTGACATGTTGTGCTTAAATAACGGAATGCAGAACTGATGTGGTCATTAACGTGATCCACAATGATATACTCTATGACCATGAGAGGAAAACACACCTTCTTATGCTGCCCAGCTCCGAGGCACCTGTGGTTCTCCTGCTCTGGTAACTCACGAGTTAGGTCTTGGGGTAGCGCAGACCTCCCGTTAGGGAGGCCAAGGGAGGACTCACCATGGAGGGGAACTGACGGGACTTGGGTGAGTTGGGCTGTGTCCTGACTCTCACTTCTTTGTTTCTGCACAGCTTCTAGATGATTCTTGGTGTTTTCACAGAGACAGAAGTTACATATTCATCAGCTGCTTCCTTTCCAGTCCTGACCATTTCTGATCAATAACGATCTGATTGCTTTTCCACGTAGATGACTCATTTTCTTGGGGGGAAAAAAAAGTCCAGCCAAAGGTCAGCGGTGACAAACAGGCTGCTGTGGGTGGGGACCCAGCCCGCTGCCTGTGGGGAGCAGCTTGCATTCAAATGAAGATACCGAAGAGCTGCTAAAGCGCAATCTTGGCCAGGTAACTAGATTCCCACAGAACTCCACGCTCCCTTCACAGAATTGAAAAAAGGTTTTTCAATTGAAATAGAATAGGCATTTCCAAACCGCTGGTGGACTTTACTTGGCATGTGACCATTTTGAATTGAGAACTTCAGTGCCAGGTGATATAATCATCATGCTGTTGACCATCACCTCCGACTCCCACCAGGACCTTTTCACCACCCAGGGGAGACCCTGTACACCATCGGCAGTCTCTCCCCACCTCCCCTCCCTCCAGTCCTCTGTGACCACAGACCGGTGACCACAGACCGGCTTTGCAGACTTGGGATGTTTCCTCTGAAAGGAATCTTACAATGTGCAGCTTTTGTGGCTGGATTTTTCTCTCCCTCTAATGGTTTTGGGATTCGCCCACGTGGCAGTGAGTGTGAGTAGCTTGCTGTTTTTTACGACTAATTGTGTTCATTGCTGGGACCAGAATACTGTCAAGAACAACTTAGAGGAGGAAGTTCCATTTGGCCTCATGATTTCAGAGGCTCCATCTACGGCTGGCTGACTCCATTGCTCTGGGCTCAAGGGGAGGAGGGTGGAGGAACCCCGTTCTGCTCATTGCATCCAGGAAGCAGAGAGAAAAATTGTGTCCAGCTCTAGGGACAATGAACCCTTCCTAGGCATGGCCCCAGGGACGCCCCACCTCTCTAGAGTGACCCCCAGTCAGTCCATTCAACCAGGAGGGACGGATTGGGTCACAGTCTCCTAATCCAGGCACCCCACCTGGGAACATTCCTGCATGAACACAGGAGCTTTCAGAGGACACTTCACGTCCAAACCAACACAGCAGCACTCCACTGTGTGCAGATGGACACACCAAATCCAGTTTTCCTTCTGTTTCCTGTTGTGATAGTCGGGAGAGATGCTCAAACCCATGGCCAGGTCGTGTAAACTTCTCTACTAATCATAAACTATCCAGGAACTCTGATGCACTTAGTAGGAAGACCCTTGGTTTTATTTAAGATTTTTTTCTCTCTTCTTATCTCAGCTGCCTTTGTTTTCTTTCTCTTTTCAAGGGGAGAAAAAACCTGCTAAATTTCATGTAGGTCAATACCATTAGAAATATTTGTACTGGCGAAATTAGATTATATCATGGCAGCAAATTTTAAAGGTTATGCTGGAGAGAAATGTGGAAATCAATCCCAAATAGCATGCTTCAGAAATATGCTGCTTATAAATACCAGGATTCAACGTATTTTCTATGTGTTAGGATCTTTCCAGATGAAGCCAGTTCAAGTTCAGCAGGTCAAGTTGTAAGTCAGTGGTTTCATTTCCCTTTTCATTCCACAGGCTTCTCCTAACACTGGAGGGAGGGGCTTGTGAGTTCCTTAACCTACAAACTAAAAACCCAGTAAAAACCTGAGGCAGAAGTAATGGATATGGAACTTTTTAATTTTATTCTATCTACTTTCTTGGTCCCAACAACTTGGTAACCTTTAGCAATGGTGACATGCTGGGAATGACGTGGAATTCTAAGGAACTGTGTTTTGAAATCCTGGCCACTCATTGGCCATTTTCATCAATAAAGTTACGCAAACTTGTTTTGTATTTTTTGCTTTCTCTGATTAAAATTAATTATAGTGGTATTCTTCTCTTCTATAAAACCTAGTATCATGTTTTTGGAGGTGTTCAAGCAATGTGACCAATTTTTACTGGAACATCACCTAGCGGTCTGGTAAGGTACTTCCTTCACATTAACTTCTGATCCTGATGATTTATTGCGATGAACATCATCAAAATTATATCAAAAACAAGTGTATAGCCACGACTGATGGCACATGCCTGTAAGCCCAGCGGCTCGGGAGGCTGAGACAGGAGGATCCCAGGTTCGAAGCCAGACTCAGCAACTTAGCGAGGCTGTGGTGGTTGACATTAGGTGTCAACTTGACTCGGCTAAGGGACACAGGTAGTTGCAAGCATATTTCTGGGAATATCTGTGTGGTGTTTCTGGAAACCTTGGTATTGGAGCAGTGGACTGAGTGGGGAAGACCTGCCCTTGATGTGGATGGGGACCAGCCCTCAGCTGAGGCCACAGAGGAAGGTGACCCTTTGCTTTCTCTATCTCGTGGAGCTGGGCACCCTCCTTGAACTGCCCTGGGACGTCAGAACTTCATGCTCTCCGTGTTTGGACTCAAGAACTTGCACCGTCTCCTCCCAGGTCTCAGGACTCTGGCCTTGGACTGAGGGTTACGCTGTGAGATTCAGTGGGTCTGAGTCCTTTGGATTTGGACTGAGCCCGGCTGGCAGCTTGCAGAAGGCCTGTTGTGGGAATTCTCCATAGTTAGGTGAACCAAGTCCTC